GAGATGTTACATTATATGCTGCAGCAGATGCTTAATACACTACGGTGCATGGCACAGATTGGTCCTTATTCCACATCTAAAGTGTCTGTGGGCCACGGCGGATGCACTACATGTCACGACGTGTGGCACAACAACACTAACCCTTCATTTTCCTTCTTCTTTTAATGCTCAGGTGGCCCGAGTTGATACCAAACCCACAATTAGGGCTAAAATATAATCGAATATGATTATTAGACCTTCCTAACCACACACCACTGCAATCTACTCAATTATCTTAATTAAGCTTGGTAATTCAAGAGATTAAAAACTAGGATATTACAATTCATGTCACTAATTCCTCCATAATGTTTTAGCCATACCAGTTTGTTTACTTGAGATAAAATTTTCTTTTTGGCTTTGCATCAAATACTTTAGATGCATTATTTCCAACCACACAATTAAAATTTTCTAACCTTCCATCTTTTATCCAACAATTGATCAATAACCAAACTATCCCCAAAAATTTAAGTAGTTACATACCAATTCATAATCAAATTCCTTTAATTTGCAACCGACAAGCTAAATTCATGGATCTATAGCACCTAAACTAAATATACTTTTCACAATAATGAATGAAATTTCAGAAACATAAAATCAAGCAAAACTCTTTTAAGGAGCATTTAATCAAACAACTAATATCAAACTTCCTTTTCCTCAATTTTCATTTCCTAAATTTTCTAATATCAATAATTGAAATGATCCAGCTCTTCCATTTAAATCCTTCAGCATATTTAAATTTTTAATATTCAAGAAAAATCAAATTTTCAACTTTGCATTATTCACGGATTTGCAGAAAAAATAGAGGAAAATTTCACAATCTCAACCTATAATCTACCTCTTACGGCAACCAAAACATTCAAGTGAAACTACCAATCAAAATTATGCTCTTAAAATAAAAATTCCAGCACGTTTAGATTTCCTTTCTACCCATTCATGCACCATAGCTAAACAAAAGAGAGATCACAACTTCAATCATTTAATCACCCATACACAGGCAAGTCGGACAAGAAAGAGAAGGAGAATGGAGTAATACACACCCACAAAGTAGGGGAAGGAATGAAGGGAATAAATTAGAGCTTCCTCACACCAGATCATGATAGCACTGAAAAAGGAAGAAGGAGAAGATTTGATGAAGGACCTGGTGCACTCGCATCACTCCACGAACAGGGGAAGCTCCGGCACACTGATCGTCTCTCTTAGCAGCATCAAATGAAGCTCCTTTACACACACTCACCGGCAAATAACTCACACAAGTGAATCTAGAAACAGAGGAGGCGGACTCACAGCCGAACAGGGGAAAGAAAATTCCTACTTTCTGGATAGAGCTGCAATGGAGGAAGGGAATAGCAGCAGTTACAAGACGTTCTTCCGTGCACCTCCTTTCTAGCGACCTCCTTCTCTAGCAGATGACGCCGGCGATGACAGGAGGAAGAAGATTTTGATCTGTTACAGAAACCAGGGAGGAGAGAAATGAGGAACCGCAGCGAACACTCTCAAGCATGCCGGCGAGCTGATCGAAAACGGGAAGAGGACGAAGAGGTCTCGGGAGGAAGGACGAGCACTCTCACTTAGTCTGGAATGATCGAGAAAATGAAGAAGCAGAGGATGCATAGTGAACAAAGACATGCGTAAATGTGTTAGGGTGTTCACGGGACGAGACGGGATCGGAATACCCCTATCCCGTATCCCGTCCCGAAAAAAAAATCGAAACTGAATTTTGATCTCGTGTCCCGTCCCATCCCGAAAGTCGTCCCGTCCCGTTAAGAGTCGGGACGTGACCGGACAAGATCGAGACGTCCCGCCGTCCCAATAAATGAAATAATATAAAAAAAAATATGAATAATAATGTTCATTAAAATTTTAAATTATATAATTTATTAAGTTTAAAATCAAAATAACACAAGTACATAAATAACAATAATTTAAAATTAATTATTGAATTATATTAATCACAACTACATATCATAATGAAAAATACAAGTGATCTTTATGCTATAAAATTAGCAACAACAGGCAAGTCAAACACAATATCAAATAATTGTTCTTCTACTTTAGTGAAGATGTACTAAGCTAATTACTCTTCTAAAAATAAGCAAGAAATAGGTTATAAATAAAAGTTATTAAATAGATAGATATAAGAATAAATTATATTAATATAATTAATATATTATAAAAAAGATATCATCATGTTTACTCCATACCATTAAAATTATCAATATAAAAACACTTTAGTTTTAAATAAGAATTGTAAGTATTAAAATTATAATTGATATAATTAATATAAGTATAAATTATATTAATATAATTAATATATTTAAAATAAAAAATAATATATATAATATTCAGGATGGGACGGGACGTCCCGATGGTAATCCCGTGTCTCGTCCCGTCCCGAACCCCTTTCCTATCCCGTCCCAATTATTTTCGGGCCAGGACAAGACCCGTCCCGATATGGTCGGGACAATACCGGGCCAATCGGGACGGGTCCAGATTGAACACCCCTGCCCATTATTATTATTATTATTATTATTATTTTAAATAGGGCAAAAAGGGTAATTTGCAAAAAGTTGAGGCAAAAAGGGTAATTTGCAAAAAGTTGAAGCAAAAAGATAAAAATTTTCACTTATGATCCCTGAAGGTTCAAACGCAAGACCAATTTAGTAAATGGTTGTATAGTCTCCACAAAACCAGTTCTTGTTCATGCTAAATTATCCCCAAAACTAATAAAAATACTCTTAAAATATATTATTATTTATTTTGAATTTTACTTAAAAATTTTGGATTATTATACTAAACTGCAGTGATTTAGGGACTTTAAATGTAATTAAGTATAATTTAGGGATTTTTATTGAAATTCTTTCATATAAAAATCAAGGGAAAAAAAAGAGGATATAAAAGATAAGAATCTTACTGCTGCTGCTACTTAAATACAAACAAAAAATTATGATAAACATAAACTAAAAACTAAAGTGTCTAAATGGAGCAGGGATTGTAGTTTCTCTCTAATGCCTTCAAGAATCCATAGAACTTACAGAACTTTTTTTTTTTTTTTGATTGAGCACATGTATGATCTTGTTTGAGGTAAAGGTGGGTGGTAGAACTTATTTATTATATGCTTTTCTATGTTAATTAAAAACATTAATAAGGTATTGTTAGTTCAAAGTGTATACATATTGCATTAGAATTGAAAATTTATCTAAATATCTAAATTTTGTATATTACGAGTGTTGTGATTCAAAAATGAACTTGCGAAAAAATGTATAAGAAAATTTGGTAAAATGTATTTCAAGTGTAGAAGAAGAGTGGTTATATTATTTTTTATAAATTTATTTTAATTTGAGAGTAATTAAATAAAATTCAATACTTTTTATTAACTTGTTCAAGTGTGTTCATTTGGCTTAATTTCGAATTTGCATTTGTATGTGAATTTTGCACAGTTTTGTACATCCACTACTTGAAATTTTTAATAAATTCTCCCTTTTAAATATAAATATAATGCTGCACTTTAATTAGATTTTATAATGTCACACTTCATTAAATTAAATTATGTGTATTTTATGACATAGGTGAAATGTGCACATGTGTATCAATTGGGTAAGTGTGCCAAGGCTTCAAGGAGTAAATAACTGATCATATTGGATGAAAAAAACTATAATTCGGTGGAGTACATCTAATTAAATTGTTGATGATGTATAGGATTAAGTTTACATACCTTAAAATTATCTACAAGTCAATAAGAACATATCACCTTGCAAGCGTCTTTCATATGACTTGAATCTACTTATATTTTCATTTTATTTTAATTACTTAGAGAGCTAAAGCTATTCAATCAGCACGCCATTTCACTTGAAAAAGGAGATCAAATTATTTATTCACTTTATTCTCTCATTTTCTATCCTTTTCTCTTACTTGTTCTTCTATTATTCTTCATCTTCAACCCTTATTTCTCCACCAATTCTCATTCAAATCACCATAAAACACAATCAATCTTCTACTCTCCATTATTTCGTCTATCCCCTTCCATTTTTATCAAGTTGTAAAAATTCAAATTCTCATTTCAATGGTTGTAGAATTTGGCACCTCATGAAGATCAAGAAGATCATAAAAATTTGAGGCTACGCACTTTGGAGGAATCTTAGAGAGAAGAAGATGAAAGATGAATCATGAGCTTCATGGTTAAGTTTTTCTTATGTCCTAACTCTTCTCCTTTAACTTGATAATTAGACACCTTAGTTAAGGATTTTATTATCATAACCTTATAATTCTAATTTGAATTTAGTCTTTGTGTAAAAAGAAGATGCTTGTGACATTGAATCCTCTCTCATTTGTTCTTGGTTTAATTTAGCCACTTGATGATTATGCATATAATTTTGTTTTTTATTTAGTGAATGGCTTGCATTGATGTTACATAATCTTGTGAGATTGATGTTTGTATTTGAGTAGTTTTATATAGTCTTGTAGTTGCTCATATTTTTTTGCTCGGTCATGGCATTGGGAGGGTAATTTAATTGTCTCACTTGGCTAATACTTGCATCAATTAGGGAAAGAATTAAGGATTTTAATCTTAGACTGAGGGAATTGAATTAGTTAGGTTAATTGACTTGGGATAGTTGTCTTATGCTAATATAATTTAGTCAAGAGGATAGAAATTACTTAATATCAAGGAGATAAGGATTCCAACATCAATCAATCTAGGGTTCCAACTCTCTAAAGGAAATTTCTAACTCACATACTTTAGACTATAATTTAGTTCTCTGTTTGGTAGTTCTATAGAAACTAATTTTAAACACTTAGATGACTTATTTCACTAGTTAACCTCAAGATTAAACATTAGCCACTTATTAGTGAGATGACTCAAGTTAACCTTTTACTACATATAATGTTAATTCTAATAACTATTTTGAGAGGTAAGCGATTAGCCAATCTCTTTTTATAAGAATTTAAATTTTGATTCGATGCACTATAAGAAAGTAGCCCTTTCATTGGACCTAAACCCCTTTAGTCAAAACTTACAAACTTAGCAAAGCTGAAAGCTGAAGCATTGATCACCTATACAGTGTGTTCCGTATTACTTCAAATCAAAGAAAAGCTGCAAAAATCTCCTGGTAAAATTGATCAAACCAAATTCTTTGACCAAAAAGAGTATGATGACAGTAGATTTTTATCAATCCTCTGTTCCTTGTTGCAGAGATTTATCTTCACTATTCAAACTAGGAGATGCTGGTTGACTTAAACAACTTTGCGGAAACTTGAAAGGCAATCATTTAGATAAACACTATCCATCATGCTCGCTTCCTCGCCATTCCCACCCTATATCCTTGAGAGAAGGTTTTAAGTTTTGGTCTCTGAATTGTATATATTCCAATGTGTCTCCTGCTGTTTTCTTCACCTCCACAATGTGAAACGAAGATGTAACTTCAAAAATCTCTGCATCTATCCCAAGTTGTCCCTTTCTCCCTACCTTGCTACCCTGTAATGTCACTGTACCATTCTTCTTCAAGACCTTGAATTTGCTATCCACCTGAGCTATCTCCTCCAGTTTTGACACAATCGTGGAGGCTTCTCTTGTGGTGGTGAATCTATCCTTGTGTGTTGAAATATTGTTTTTCTCAAACAGAGGAGAAAGGTCAAATCCTGAAGACAGAGATATGATGTCAAATGCATTGAAACTAGGTGGTTTCATGGATCTTTCTGCTTCGTTTTTGGGCACTAAGCCATCATCTAAAGTTGATGAATCAAAGGCAGATTCAACTTGGCAGCCGCTAAAAGGAGATAATAGTAACCGAGGTGCTTCGATCTGGTTATATTCCTTTCTGAGCCATGGTGTTTTCTTTATACTGGAGATAGACAATCTTGTTCTTGGGTTTGGATCAAGGATTCTGGAGAGAAGCTTTCTGGCCTCAGGCGAGAACCATAGTGGACACGTAAACTCTGCTCTGCTAATCTTCATGTACATTGAGATTAAATTCTTGTCTTGGAAAGGAAGAAACCCAGCAAGAAGAACAAAAAGAATGACCCCGCAGGACCAAATATCTGCCTTGGCACCATCATAGCCTTTCTTATTGATCACTTCAGGGGCTACATAAGCTGGAGTCCCACACATGGTGTGTAGAAGTCCATCAGTCTTTCTGGATTCCCACAACGCACTGAGTCCAAAGTCTGAAACTTTAATGTCCCCATTTTCGTCCAGCAGAAGATTCTCTAGTTTCAGGTCACGGTGATACACTCCTCTGCTATGGCAGAAATCCACGGCCCCAATCAGCTGCTGAAAGTACTTTCTGGCTAAGTCTTCCTTCAGTTTCCCTTTGAGAACTTTGGCCAGAAGCTCTCCACCTTTCACGTACTCCATGGCGAAATAAATCTTGGTCTTGCTTGCCAGCACCTCGTAAAGCTGCACAATGTTGGGATGCTTCACCATGCCCATCACAGAGATTTCTCGCTTGATTTGATCGTTCATGCCAACTTTGATAATCTTCTCTTTATCGATGACCTTCATGGCAACAGGTTGCCCAGTTTTCAGGTTCCTTGCATGGTACACCTTCGCGAATGTGCCTTGGCCTAGCAAACGGCCAAGCTCATATTTCTGCATCAAAATTTTGCCCTGCTTTTCCATTCTTTCAGCTTCAGCAAGATCAGTGAAATGGGCTTCAAGATTTAGTAGAAAAACAAAAGCTAAGCCATTGTTCTCCAGATTAGCATTTCCTCCCTGGGTATGTCGTCGCAGAAGAAGCGAATTGGGAGGGTTATTCCATCACAAAGGCCTTGGAAGCTACTTTCTGGAACACATACTCATCAGAAGGGGTTATTCCATTTCTTGTGCTATGAAAGATCAAAGCTTTTGGCCGATTCTCTTTCTAGTTTGGGGCATAACTTCCTTCATATCCTGCTAAAAACTCAAGATCCGAAAAATATTCCCAAATATGGCGGAGACAAAATTAAGATTTTGTTCTATTTTCAAGAAATCTTCACGCCCATGGAAATTTAAGCAGATTCAGTCAGACATTATCATTCCCCTTTCTAAATATGGTAAATAATAAGAGGCTGTAGCAGTTGCTGGATTCATTTCTCATGCAATTCAGGGATATTCCGGAATTTACTAAAATTCTTCCGGGGATTTTCTTTTAGGTGTTGCTAAAGTAGTGTAGGAGAGATTGACAGAATTCAGATTCCTGTGGGTATCACGAGAATATAAACTGCTCATCTATCTTCGAGTAGGCCCTTTTGTTTTTTTCTTTTTGGCTTGTGCACTATTCGAAGAATATGCTAACTACGTTTAAAGTGAAGTAAATAATAAACATCTAATTAATAATTATTTTTAATAATATTATTGAACGAATGGGCCTAATATTATATGCCAAATAATTCTAACCCCACTAATAATTGGATCACCAGTAGTGCTTGTAAGGAATCAAACTAGCTCTTCATTTTAAAAAAAAATTAAACCTGAAAATGACAGATATGCATGCAGATTATATCCAGTTGGCAAGTGCTAAGGTACCATTAACCGAATTTGTTTTGTAATCACATGTATAAATTGGAATTTACAGTTTGGATTTGGCTAACGACAGAGCTAGGTAGGATTTAAGAACGGACGGTCGTGATTAATATATAAAATAAAGTTCATGGTGTAAAAAATACATAATATTTGTATAATACCAATAACAAATTAAAAACGGTGCATGATTCATTTTCAAATTTACTCTCTTGAACTTGGGCCTTTATCTTGGTTTATTTTTGAAATCATAAACACATGAATTAGTGCAGAAATTTGGCCCAATACTCCTCTATTTTGAATATTATTAAAATCTAATTTTCCTCAATCTCCTTTAAACATGCACCCAGTTCATCAACAAAAGCACCTTAACTAAATGATTCCTTTTTGAATAAAATTGCAAGTGAAAATTTATAAAATATTGGGAGTCATAACATGTCACGGTATTCCCAAGAAGTATACACTCAAACGTTAAAATGTTAACATCTGATTCACGAGTCTCATTGGTACCAGCTTTTATCCTCCTATTTTAAGCAACAAATCAGTGATCAGTCGCCTTACGGAACCGATTTTGGTTCTGAGATGGTAATATATATAGATTGCTATTGGTACAGAGAAAATGACGAACGTCAACCAAACTGTCATAGGGTATTCTGCAAGGAACATAAAACCATGTATGTTGAATGTTGGAATAACAAAATCAGGCTGGTTAGAGGCGTGGAGTTTCAAAGATAATTATAAAGTCCCTAAGCTCCCTTATCTCAATTCATCCGAATGCTAAGAAGAGATTGGTGCAATAGGTTTTTGATTAATAGAAAATGAAATACAAAGTTGCAGTGATTACAATTGATGGACCCATGACACGGATGACATGGCATTAATGGTAATGAAACTTGAAGATGGTAATCATGAAGATGGTGACATGGAAAGAGCCTAAGGCAAGAAGCAAGAAACCCAATACTTTCAATCCAACATACCTAAAGACCCATTATAACATATTGGAGGTCCAATGTCAAGATCCCGAACTAAAGCCATAAAGAAAGTCTTATTTAGTCTTGTGCAAGAAGTCCAAGAGCTTGAAGAGCATTGAGGCACTCCTCTCAAGCTCAAAGGAGAGCATCAATACATGTATAATGTGCTTACAATCCAAATCCATGAAGAGTCAAGCCCAAGAGATACAAACCTTAACCCAATACACGGAAGACTACAAGTTGAGTCTCTTACAAGTAAAGAGGCATGAAACTCTAATGAAGAAGTCAAGGGTGGCACGATTTAAATCTTCTATGATTCCTTGATTGTCTCCTAAATTATTTCCTATTTTAATGGTCCTTTGATTTGACTCTCTTATTTAAAGAGCAAGATTAGTCTTAGTTTTCTATTTTGAGTCTAGTCAGAAATTAAAATTAATTATATTATTAATTTCTAAATTTTGTAATCCCATAAATTTAGGATCACATCTCCTAAATTATGTAACTGAATATTTTTTCATTATTCTATATTATTTCTCCTTTTAGTATTAGGAAATTAGGATTTTAAATTTAAGAAATAGTATTCTCTATGAGCCTATATATATTAGGCATGCTCCCTAAGAGAAGTTGAATGAAATTATTTATTTTAAAGTTTATAACTTTTGTGAGTTTTAGTGCTTTGTGGTGGCATCCCTTGCAAGAAATAGACGTGATTAAGCGTATCAACTCTTGTGGTGTCTTCAAAGGTTGAGATTCCTAGAGGTAAGTGCTCTAGGAGATTTTATCCTTGATTATTATCCCATTGTTTATTTCCTTTCTTTCTTTATTTTCGTCATAAATTTCGTCCCTTTTTTTTATTCTTGAGTTTTTGTTGTGACTCAGGATTCTATCTCTAAACTAGCATGATTCTGTTTCTGTGTCTCCTATCAACAACTCTCGTGAATTAAAAATAAATCTAAGTTTAAATATGGATCATACACGGTAAAATAATTTCAAAAAATGAATCTAAAATAGTTTCTGGTGTAAACTGGTGTTGTCCTTTCTTTATGTTGCTAGTTGAGCTCTTTTTTATAATCATTCATCTAAAACTATCGTGCTTGAAGAATCCAAAGCCCATGTGCAAAATATTCATGATACTCAACATAGCCCCACGAGATTCATAGCACATCAGATAATGATCTCATATCCACTTAATGGTCTTCCATACTTAATCATTTTGAGTCTTAAAGGTCACGCTGAGCATGTGCACGGTATGAATCCTTTTGATAATAAGCTGAACCTTGTCTTCACTTAAGTCTATCATTTTAATTTTCCTTTCTCTTTACAATTTTTGGGTCGACACTTCGCCCAAATAATATGACAGATTAAACAAATCTAAACTTTTCTACCAATGCCCTTTTTGTTTCCAAATCCAAAAAGAAGGAAAGAGCGACGTGTCAATTGATGGAAGCCAAGTGTTGCATGCACAGCAATGTGTCAAAATACGATGTCTATATGGGTTGGTGCATTTTCATCCACATACGTATGCGTTTGTCTGCAAATTATATAATGAAAATATGAGAGGCTCTCTTGCATCCTGACCTTCTCACAAATCCTTGACAAAGTGAGTGACATTTGCATCCGCGTCATTGAAACTCCGTCACATTGGGGGAAAAAAATCCATGCTTTTTTCAGGATGGTTTGTGGTGGCGCCAGACTCCCAATTAATGGCCAAAACCCAAATTAAAATAATATACTGTATATAGAGAGAGAGAACCTCTTAACTAATTAAGAACATTGACGTATTTTTGGGCTTTCTCAAGTTTTAAGGTTAAGCAGGAGAACTAACTAACCAGATCCTTCTTGGAATGAAATATTTACTAGAATGTAATAACGATATTTATTTAGAGCGAGGGAAAACGCATGGTCGTATGAATGATAAGGGTCCATGGCCTGGAAAGAATCTGGTTTGTTTATTTTTGAGTAGAAAGCTTTAAGATATAAGTAAGTCCAATCACACAGCCTTTTGTAACACAACTCTTTAATGTAATTCGTGTTTAGTTGAATTTTTCAGTGCATTAATCGGTTTCTTAAGAAATTATTTTTTTTTTTTGTAAAATTTCGAGTTATAATGTAACTGGCTTATCAAATTCTATTGAATATATATAGTTATATGTGTGAATATGATGTGACTATGTATATATGCATACTTATTTGATACTTTCATAGTTTGGTACTCCTCTGATCTCATTTATAAGTCACTTTAATTTTAATATGTTTTACCAATATCAAAAAAAAAATCTTAAAAACTCATTAATTATATCTTAAAATTTAGTAAGTTTTAACTTTACTCCTATTAAATACACATACTTCAATAATATATTTTCTCTTCTAACATTTAAGAGAGGACAATAAAAAAAATTTATGATAAAAATTTAATGATATGACTTATAAATAAAATTAAAAAAATCCTCCTTTCTATGCTCTATAAATAAAACAAGAAGGAGTATTTGGCGTGTCATTCTTTTTTTCTTTTGTTTGTTTGGTTCAATGAAAGAGAAGGGAAGTAAGGGGTGAAATATGAAATTATAATAAAAAGAAGGGAAAGTATTTTAATGATTTTTTTTCATTTTTTTATAAAATTAATAATTTTTAATTCAAGAAAAGGAGGGATTTCATCATTTTTAATTAGCTTTTTTATGCATCCATCTGGACCGCCCCTTCAAAACCTTCCAATGTAATTTGGAGAATATATAATTACGCTCATTTGTACTCCATTTATATTTTAATATAAGAAACAACATCCAAATCATCACAGCTCAAATAATTAGCTGAGTTTGTTGATAAATCAGAAATGGCGACTTGGAATATTAACCATTTATTTATTTTTTTCTGAAAGCATTTATATCTTGAGTTGAATATGGTGTCCGCCTTTTGCTAGCTGTACTGTCCTTCAAGTCAGGAATCCACGCCGAATACAAGTAGTGGAAAAGAGACACGTCACAAAAACTCAGCACCGCAATGTGGACATTTGTTACTTGTACCTCTACACTACAAGCAAAGGGTGTACTCTAACTCTCTTGATTATTAGAAGGGAGATTTACGTTGCAGGTTTCAAAAGAGTAAAAAACTGCACTGCAGGCTCAAAAGTATTATTATAATTTTTTCAGAGGCAAAAATATAATTTTATTTTATATGATTTGAAAATTTAAATCATGCACAATATAATATATATAATACACAACACATCCATAGATATTTAATTGATTAGCAGATTTAATAAAATGTATGAATGATGCATACAATATACAACACAATATTCTTGCATTCTCAACTAAATATCTATACGTGAATGCACATGAATATTGTATTGAGAATTCATGAATATTGTGCTTTGTATCTATAAACATTGTATTGTGTATTTATAGACATTGTGTTATACATGCTTTACGTGACTTTATTTTAATTAACTTATAGATCAATTAGACATGCATGGACATTGTGTTGAGAATTCATGAATATTTTCTTATGCATCCATAAACATTGTGTTATACGTGCTCTATATGATGTATATTTTAACCTACAAATCAACTAGACACATAAAGACATCGTATTGTGCATCCATGAATATCGTGTTGTGCCTTATGGATATTGTGTTTACATAATCTAAGTTTTCAAATCACATAAAGTGCAAAATTGTAATTTAATCTTAAAAAAAGTACAACAAGGGCCCTTGGACTTGCATTGCAATATCAAAATGTATTGGATTTGAAGCGAAATTTTTTATTATCTTAGGATCTATAGTGCGATTCTCCCTCATTAGAACGTCAGCAACTTATGAAAAATTTAGGGCTCATTTGGTATGATGGAATTGAGAGGGTGGAAATGGATATGGAATTGAAATTGAAATTTTTTTATGTTTGGTTTGTTAAAATGAGGTTGGATTTGGCTTCCACATGGAAATCATTTCCATATATTTTGATGGATTTGAGTTCCATTAAAAAAACTCAGTTTTGTAATTCTAGATCCCTTTTTTTATTTTTTACCCTTCCTCTCTCTCTTCCATTCTCACCTTCTCTTGAACAACAGTGACTCAGCATAATGAAGACTGACCTTCGACGTTCGATCTCTGACCTCTGCTCCTCAACCACCATTGCTCGTGCTGTTCCCTTCACCAACATTGACGACCTCCTCCCTCATTGATTTCACCTGTCTCTTTGTCTTCTCATCCATCGAATTGAATGACGGCGGCCTTCTCTACAAATCGTAAGGATGAACCAGTGACCTCCAGCAATTTCACGATCTCTACTGCTAATAGTAGGTCTTCTTTTTCAGGGCAGTGGCGATGATTAAGGCTACCTATGCGATCGAAGAAAAAGGATGATAAAGCCAACAACATGGTTCCAGCAACAATCTTCTTCGAGCTAGAGCTTGAGCTTCTTTAGCACAGTAACATCTTTCGATCTTCTTCTTCTTTTCCCGCGAAAGTCCAGTGAAGGTGCTTCATGGTGGTTCCTTCTTGAATCTGGGTAGGAGCTTTTTTTTTTGGATGATGAAATTTTTGAACTATGATGGGGCATATTTTTTTGAGATGGGAGTATTTTAGTCTTTTCATGTTTTTAAGATTAATAATAATAAAAATAATATCTCAATTTCATAAATAAACCAAACATATTTTAAAACTTCATATTCAGTTCTATATTTATTTTTATTCTCATCAAAATCATTTCCACCATTCAAACAGGAATTATATATATATAGAGAGAGAGAGAGAGAGAGAGAGAGAGAGAGTAATTCTCTTGTTTATTTACGCCGCCAGCACCTGCCTCGTATGTTGGTCATACAATCTGTACATACGTTTCACGATCGACATAATTCAACACAGACATCTATGTGGATGTGGAATCGAGGAAAGCAAGGAAACATAGTTTGTGTGTAGTTTTTAATTTATTAAAAATTTATTTAACATAAACCATTTTAATAAAAATTAATTGGTGTAACAAAATTTATATTTAAATATATTTTTTTAAAAGTAAGTTTGATAAATGAAAAATTATTTAAATTAATTATAATTCTTACTTTTGAGATATACTTTTAAATATGTAATGGTAAAAAAGAATATTAATTTTTGATAATTGATAATTTTTGTTATATAAATATAATATACTAGAAATATTTAAAAAATATAAAAAATTTAAAATAACATAAAATTTAATATTTTAAATAATAAGAATAAAAAATGTATAGTTTAATATTGGAAAAAATTAAAACATAATAAGGGTATTATTAATATTTATAAAAGTAGATACAGCTTAACTCCCATTTACAATTTTAAATCTACCAAATAAGAAAATTGGCAAGTTCATATTTTAACCCACATTTGTATATAATAAGTGTGTGTTTGGTTATTTATAAATGTGATTTGTCAAAAAATTACCTGTAATTTTTTTATATAAAAAAAGGGTAGCATGGTTATATTAAAAATTAATAGATCACATTTGAAAAGCACATTTCAAAGTTTAAGGGAAATCAAATTGAGTAAATTCACATTCAATAACTTTCTCCAAATACATTAATAAAAGTATTTTCATCACATTTTTTATTTCCAAATAATTTTTAACTTTTAAAAAATGTCCAAAGTACTTTCTAAAAGTTAACAGTTAAGTTGTAAATGAATTCAGAATGGAAGTGAATAAAAGTTGATCTCAGAATTGAGCGGCAAGACATCTCTAAAAATAAAATGACCCATCCATATATACCCATCTTTTCATGCTAAATATAGTATATATAATACATCCCAATTAAGCCAAATTTGTATTTACAATGTTGTTTATACCTATATTTAGGGGGTGAGCATTTGGTCAGTTCAGTATCAATTTCTCTAAAATTGATCGACCAAATTATATTAAAATTTGGATTGAATCAAATCAAAATACATGATCCTAAAATCAAATCAAATTATAATTGTTTGATTCGATCAATCTATTCGGTTCATAGATTTTGATTAGAGTTTATGAAATCTAATTATTTCTATATTCTTCTATCTAATTTTTTTTCTTGAGGTTGAAGGCCCAACAAAAAAATAACAATCTTACACCATAATTTATGAAAAAATTAATAAAACTTAACACTATTACATTAAAAACTAAATTATAAAAATAAAAAATTAGAACATCATATTAAACAAAAAAAATGCTACTACTGCTCACCCATAATTCACATTTTTAAAATTATGAAAAGAGAAATATATATAATTTGATCGATTTGATTTATTTGATTTAAGAATTTTCAAATTACCACTCAACCAAAATTTTTGTTAAAAAAAAGCTAAATTGAAATTAAATAAACCGAATTAAATGGATAAAATTTGTTTTGATTTGATTCAATTTTTAATTTTATTCGATTTTGTTCATGCCTGCCTATATTTTGTGTGTGTGTGTGTTCATCATCACTCTCCTCCCTCTCAAATCATAATCTTAAACCACCTGGTATATCAACCATCAGACTAGTTCAGAGTAAGGAATTAAGAGCGAAATATGGAATGCATGCATCCATTGAAAATATCTCAATATTTTTACCATATATTATAAAGTCATATATATATATGCATGAGTGTGTGATTAGTCTGAAAGTGAAAGCAGAAGAAAGACAACTGCCGCGCGGAATCCACACTCATTCATAGCGTGGCCTCTCCTCCTCTCTCCATCTGGTCTCTCTCCTTCATCACACCTCGCCTCTTCCCTCTTCATACCCTAATCTTAAATCTCTTTTCATAATTATTAGACAAACACAAACTCATTGCATCTGTTTCACACAGCATGAAAACGCAGGACGACGTCGACCATGGATTCTCTGACTTCTACTGTAACTGGCTTCTCAAGCTTCAAGACATCCTTCATCATCTTCGGCAGGTGGACGTCCAGCAGGTGCAGAAGAGCGACCAAGACCTGCAAGCTTTGGTCTCCACAGTCACCACCCTCCTCAAGGAATACTACACTCTCAAATGGTCCTCCGCTCGCCACGACGTTCTCCCCTTCTTCTCCCCTACCTGGTTCACTCCTTTGGAGAATGCTTACTCCTCCTGGCTCACCGGATGGAAGCCCTCCTCCGCCTTCCGCCTCCTCGGCTCTTTGATCAGGAAGCCCAGCACCGCGTTGGCCGCCGTGACGGAGGAGCAGCGGAGGAGGATAGAGGAGCTGAGGATGAAGATATGCGTGGAGGAGGAGAAGGTAGAGAGAGAGACGGAGAGGCTGCAGGTGGCCATAGCTGACCGAAAATGGCAGAGCTGGTGAAACTGTCGAGCCGCCGCTGCCGTGACAGCGTGGCTGACGGGCTGGTGGAGGTTGCCTTGAAGGGGGTTATGGGTGGGCTGGAGAAGGTGATGAAGGCCGCGGATTGCGTGAGGCTCAAGACACTGAAGGGGATATTGGATATTCTGACGCCATTGCAGTGTGTGCAGTTCTTGGCCGCAACCCTTTCTCTGTATCTTCGTCTCAGGCAATGTGGGATCAACACCGACATGGCTCCACCCAAACTGAATATCCAGGAAAAGTGATCCTTATGCACTTGCAAATCAATTGTAAATCTGGAGGCTTTAGCTTGTTTCAGCTAATTAATTTCTCTCGATCTGATTTTGCTGGTTTTTTATCAGTTAGCGATATAAATACTCAAAATAGAAATAATAATTAGAAGCTACACTAAAAAGGCAGGAATATCGTACATCAGGAAACAGTCTATTCTAATTAAAATTTCAATGAAATCAAAACTTGGATGATGCTAAGTAATAATCAGTGATTGGATAAAGCCGTAAGTGTGCAGAATCGCTGTTAGCTAGAAAAAGAAGAAAGAATGAATCTCCATGCCAGGTTCTCAATCTATATCAAACCAAATACTGGCTCTGTGACTTAATAGAACAGAAAGCAGGTGGGTTGAATATTGACCAGCGTGGAAGTCTCTGTCAAGCTGTTGCACCATAAGATTCAAAACCATCCGACGTTTAAAGGATTTGCACAAAAAAATGACGAATGCATGCATGTTGACGTTACTGAGGAGACACGATGTCATTATAATTCTCATCTCTGTAAGATACAAACACGTAAGAAAATAGATTTTAGGTCCCCCATTTTTGGGACAATCCTGTTCCTCTGGGGGCATCAGACATTGAATAGTTTTCATTCATAAGATCACTATCGTCTAATGGATTAGATTCTGGAACTGGAAGTAATCTTATTTATTAAAAACATGCTGTATTTTGATCAAATAATCTAATATCTGAACACATGCCGGTCTTTTCTTGTGTGCGTTTTGGGGATGCGACAAGTAGCTTGATAATCATAAAACAAGTATCAGTTTCACTGACAGGGGATGCGACAAGTAGCTTGATAATCATAAAACAAGTATGAGTTTCACTGACAGGGGATGCGACAAGCAGCTTGATAATCATAAAACAAGTATCAGTTTCACCGACAGACCTATTTAAAATTTTTAGTTAGATTATTATTTTTTTTACATTTCCAACTTAAATAACGAAAAAAAAAACATTTTAAACCACCCCGCATTGAAAACATCGTAACACACCTTCATTACAACATGAATAGCTATTTTATGAACCATAAGGACTTGTAAACGAACAAGGACGATAAGATTTTGGTCGCACGTATATATTGATGACCACTAACTGGAAGATGGGCTGGACTCTGCTCAATTGAATTTACTATACAGTGAATGATTGAGACAGAAGTTATGTTGCCTCTTCTGATAAGATCTCTAGTTCAGCCCACCAGAGTGGAGAAAGTCTTGGGGCTGCTTGGTCAGGTGACATGCCAATAACATTCCTTAATTTGGAAGTTATGTCCTTCATTGTGGGTCGCGAACTCGGATTAGGTTGGGTGCATTCATGGATCACCTCACAAACCACATCAAGTTCTTTCTCTCTGAAGGATTCAAGGGAAGGATCGATCATATTACTGATGCTTCTCTTACCATTTGAAAATTCACCAGCCTGTGGAGTTAAAGAGAATTATTCATTATAGAGACGATATGGTAAATGAAGGTTCAGATTTTAACTAGAAAGTAGATCTGATATAAGTGTAAAGAGGAACAATGGGAAGGAAAAGAAAATGACCAATTGATGTATTTGAAGCTTACCAATTTCTCAAGTTGTTTTTGTTCTTCACAGTCTGGCAATTTCCCAGAAATGATTTCGAATAACAATTTTCCAAAGCAATATACATCAGTTTCGGGATCAGCATTGAATGTCAATTCGGAATTCTTTGAAATTGATTTATCTTCCAATGACGAGGCAAAAATGACCTGTGCAATCTGAAGGAAAAATTGAATATAAAAAACATAATTACTTAGGATTCAACATATAATGGAAGTAATCGGGAAAATTACTGTCCCTTTCCAAACAAAATTTCAAAATTACACAATATTCTCCTTTTTGTTGGAATATACAGCCATCTCTTAAAACTAAAATAGGACAAAAGTACTTGGAAGAACAATTGCATTATCTGTCAAGTAGTGGGAAAATATAGTTGTCATATCATAAGAATAATAGATATAAAAGTATTTTGGTCAAAGTGTATAGGATGGATAAATGCAGTATCTTTTGGTCTAAAGGAAAGATGTGCTCATTTTTAAAATAGAGGAAAGAGCTATGAATTCTAAATTTCTCAAGGAAAGAAAAAGTGCATTCCTATAAACAGAAAGAGGGAGATATAAATAGGTTTACCTTCGCAGCAAAATCATCTGTTAACAAGACTGAATGTGAATCGAGGTTGCTATGAGCTACTGATGGATTCAGGTCATGGTGCATGTACTGAAGACAATAAGCCACGCCCATAATAACCCTCATTCTTGAATTCCAATCTAGGTGTTCAAGCCCCTCAACTAATTTTTTCCCCAACCGTCCACAAATTTTTGCCATTCAGTAAAAGAATGAAAATATACTCAAATGTGCTCTATGCTAACCAATGACTAAAAGAAAGAATATTACCATGCAAATGCTCAAATAGGGATCCATTAGGAGCATACTCAGTCACCATCATCCGAGTAAATGGCTCTTCTTCCTCACAGTAGCCAATAAGATTAATAAAATTCTTATGATTTACCCGAGACATGGTGTCAATCTATACAGTATAAAGAGAAAATTAGCACACAGAGGAGATTGAGAATTGAGATCCATGTTCTCAATTAAATTAGGACTTATTATTGAATCTTCCTTTCCATTGACTTCAGAAGAAACAAACCATTTTTCGGTAGGCAATCTCCATATTCTTCGACCAGTCTTGTGCAGAAGTGATCATAGCTGATGCAACTGCAATCTCTACTCCACTGGACAGAGTTCCCTTGTATACGGTGCAATGAGGCAAGCTTGTAACAATATTGCTGAAATCCTCACAGGCTACCTCCAACTCTGCTCGATTTAGCTTCGGGACTCCTAGATTTGATATGAAAAAAATGGTAAAGTCAATTGTCACCCTATTGCACAGTGATGTCTGCTTTCTAACATGAGAAAATCCACAGTTCAAATTAATTGAAAGCCAATGACTGTGCTCATTACTGAAATTGGGGATTAGATGTGATAATAGAACAGTAAAAATATCAACATCATGAAATGCAGAGAGCCAAATTCTGTGTTATGTTGGATTTGTACAAATTGAACGAGTACCTACTAGAAATATGTACTTTCGCAATAGGTGATCATTGCAGATCAAGGAGCTCTATAGCGGTAGTTTTAAAATTGATTTACATCATGCGAAGATGTTATAATTTCTTATCAAAATTAATTAGTTTATTTAGTCAATTTTCAAAATAAGTAAATTCCCATGACAAGAGACCCATAAACATTTTTTATTTGAGATTCCCTGACCACCCTCACACAACTTCAAAAAATGTGGTGAAATACATCACAAATGACAATCATTTGGTTTTAAATTTTGAATAATTTGTGAACAGTTGGACAAGGTGACAAGCTCAAAAAATTAGATGAAATCATTCAATCGCAAGTTCAACTTAAGAAAATGACCTGTCACGGCGACCAAAAAAATCAATTACCTGTCACAAAAGCTTTCTGTAACTGTCCGCTTAACCCTGTCTTCCATGGCCTAATTGCTTTTACTGCTCTCTTATTCCACAGGCAAAATACGGCAACAGCAACAATGACCAACAAAAGCACACCTAATATAATAATTATGTACTTCCAAGCATCTCCAGAAGCATTATCTTCAGCTGAAGGTTGTCTGTTTTTTTCATTTCCAGAAGAAGCAGGTGAAGGCAATGGTGTGGGTGACTGATTATGATTCCCACTGGTATTTAATGTAGCCGGAAAAGCTCCGCTACTCAGTGTGGATGGGAGACTAATGATCTGTTTAGCAGACCCACCACTAAAAGGGGCAGCTACGAGGTTACTGGACTGATCAAGTAATTTACGACGTTTAAATTTGTCAAGTAGATTTTGAGCAATTGCTGACTCACCTGAACATAAATATTGCAAGGAACATTTTTATTGTCAATAAGAATTATAAATTTCTATCACTCAATAGACCAAAGTTCATATTTGAATATTCCACTCACTAGGCTGATTGTCAAAGCAGTTATCTTCGTAGTTATTATGGTAGTTCTGTAGCTTGAACCTTGAAAGTTGAGTGGAAAGTTTTAGTAGTTAGAGGACAATGAAAGAACAAAACATGTATACTTCTTTAGATACTTAATGGGAACAGAGTAATGTACGCACAATGGCAGCGCCAAGGAATTGAGGCATTTTGTAATTGCTCCTTTAATTGGAATGACAAGTGATTGTCTCATGTTCCATAGTTTGAAATTGCTCTGCCGCACACTGCCAAAGTCATGCATCATAAGCTCCAGAAAATGCTAATTCAAAACCATATGTAAACCGTATAGGAAGAAACAAACTAGGTGTAATCATAAATTCCAATGGATGAAACTCCAGAAGAGTCTAATATCAATCGAAATTTTATATTGACTGCTCAACATAACTATGTCACAGTTATCAACTTGCAACTCCTCATATAAGAATAAATTAAATTATTTCACAGTTGAGGCTACTGTTCTGTAAAGGACATGGCAAAACCTTAAGCCCATATCTTTCCAAGTTTTTGTCTAAGTTTAGATGGATCAAGATTAATAGTTTGAATTTTTATCAATAACTAACATATTAAAGATTAATTAATATTTTGATTTTCCATCAAACATTTCCTGCTTGAATTTTGTTTTCTATAGAAGCACCAATGGGACAAAAGACCATCTATTAAGGATGCAAGAGTAGAAATCCAGATACAACAGAAAGGGCTTAGATGGAAAAAGACCATCTTCCAAGTTTTCCAACTCACCTAAACTTTTTTGTATAAAAAAAAAAATCTTGATTTCCGTGCTTAAGTTCCCTACACAATTAATAAACTCCCTCGATGCCGAAGTCATGTCCAAAAGCGCCTATATTTAAGCACCAACTAATCAATTCTTCTCTCAACAACCGCTTTGTTAGTTTTCAACACTTACACTTTAACCTCCTAATTTAACTCAATACATGCAATTAACTCCCAAATAACTATCAAATTATCCCAAATACTATGCAAAATATGGATTGATCAATTATGATGATATGTGAGCCCAAACTGATTGTGTTCACATTTGAACCCATTCCTATGACTCTTACAGATCTTTCCTTTTTATTGAGCAAAAATATTTTTCCTCCGTTAATTAAACATATCCCTGACTCTTAAACATCTTTTCTTTACAGGCACATTATGTGCTGCCAGATCTGTGAGAACAGAGTCCTTATGTCTCAATGTCTTTGGAGGACAAAGCAAACAGTAAAGGTCACAATGTCAGTTAATTAAAAAAATAAAAATAAAGATCCACTTACCAGTGTCCAATTTTTCTATTCATGCAACCAATTTCAGCTATCTCATGAGACGTATGATTATCAATCAATTGTCGTTTAGATAGTAATTCATGCTTCCCAAGATCTTGAGGAACATTGACTTCAATGTTGCTGCCAAAAAGGTTCCTATGGTAACATATAGTTTTATTAAGGATAAAAATGCTTTTAAATATGGTGTTTTAGTTTTAGGAACAACATCCTGCCAAAAAGACTAAGCTTACAAGTCTTTTAGGAACAGCATCCTGCCAATTTCCGCTGCAACACTTCCAGTCAAGCAATTGTCCCTCAAATCCAACAACTCCAGCTTAGTTAGCTCTCCAAATTCTTTAGGAATGGTGCCAGAAAACTTATTCTTGCATAATACACTTTCAGAAAAACAGAGGAAGCTAATCAGGAAAAAGGTAAGAGGAAAGAAAATGCTAATTTTATGATTCCTCTATTGGAAAGTGAAATATCATTTTAATCTTTGTCTGAAGACGTCAATCACAAAATAAGGAGATATGCTGTTAATACATCAAAAAGATTAAACTAATCAAATAGACGAACTACATATTTTCATGTCCAGCAAAATAAATCAGATGATGGACTTCAAAAGTGTTCACATACACATCCTTCTAACACTAACAAAATAAACAAGCTAATGGAAAGTTTCAAACTAACTGTATTCCTTTGATTCAAAAATAGTAATTGCTTAAATTTTTGCACGATTGAAGGAAAAAACTGCCACTATGCAAGCTTAAAAACTACATTATAAAGATGGGAAAGGATAGGCAAAATGGCAAAAGGCTAGAATAGAATAAAATGAAATGTGTTTATTGGGACCAATCGTTAGCAAGCTAATATAATAAACTACAGCATGGAAGAAATTAACCTGAAGTTTCTTTTGGATGAAAGGAAATACAGGACATTCACGACTACGGAATTGAAAAGCTAAAATTTTTTTTTTGACATAGATTCAACTATCAAAACTTTAGAAATGGAGGCATGAAAACATTTGTCGAATCCTTACAGATATTTCAAGTTACTTAATTTCCCAAGCTCAGGAGCCAGTGTACCTTCCAAAGATAGCTCACTTAAGTTCCTAAAAGAAGAAAGAGGAAGGCGAAAACTTAGTTCCACAGAAAACTCAACACTGAATTTTGTTGGAGGCCAGTCAAAAGGAATCTTTACTAAACCCATATGCACTGTTACGAGTATTTATATTCCTTAAAAAATATCTGTGCCTCGCCGGAAATCTTAAGCGAAAACAAACGGGACTCACAGCATTTGCACTGTATTGTCAACACATTGAACACCCAACCAGTCACAAGGATCAAGATCATCTGGTTTCCAGTTAGCCAAAGCTCCACGAGGATCATAATCTATTCTCGCCCGAAACTTTAACAAAGCCATTACTGCATTTTCATTCCAGAAAATCATTGGTCAAAAGACAATACCATTACATGTTACTAGGAAAAGGAATGAAAAGGGGCTATATCAAAAAATCACCTTCGTCATTAAGGGACCAACATGAACGAATACCCCACAGACAAATTAAAGCAGAATAAATTCTGCTCCAAAATACATATGAGCCACATCTAGAACCCATTGCTTCGTGAAGCCAACTTTCTAGACGTTAAAGTATACAAAATCGCGAGGTTTTTCCTACACAAATAACCCTTCAATCTACCCGTACCTCGCAACCAGCAAAACAATTCACTAACTACAAACTATTTTACAAAAAGCAAAAGAAATGCAGACAACTGGTTCCGGAGATCACATCAGGGTCCCTCATGATTATATTTATTTTCTTCGTCTACAGCTTGTTCAACAAAGGCATAACCCGCTCAAAGTCTTCCTTTCAATGGCCCTCCGCAATATGGCTGGAGCTGAAATTTCACCCACAGGAAGAAATTAGCCGAATGAAATGAGCTTGTACCAGAGAAGGAAAAGATACTAAAGAAGGAAGTGTCAGAAACCAACCAATAATGCCATAACAAAGAAGAAAGAAGGAATAACCTCATTACCAAGCAAAGTCTCTGGTTATCAGAATAAAAGAAAAAAAAAAGGAAAAAGGGACAGGAAACGAATGATAAAGAAAGTGAAAGTACCATGCAGAAGCGACAAAAGAAAGATGCAGGAAAATGACTCCGCGTGTTGGGACGTTAACAATGGAGGGCAAGGATGAACAAACAGAAGAAGATAATGCAATGCGGCACGCTGGGGGTGATTGAGAGTCAACAAAAAGGCAGCAAGAGGTACCAAAAAATAAAAAGAATCTTTAAAATTGCTGCCTTTTTTCACGATGATCTGAGAGGACCCTCTCTTAGACCATCATCTGGGCAATCTCTCTCTGGGTTTCTGAGCTTCTGTCTCTCTCTTACCCCCTTTCGTTTCTCTCTCACCACCCCACCAGCTACGCCCCAGAAGATGTGTTCAATTTTCCATCTCATTTCCTTTTTTTCTTTTCCTTCTTTTAAAATTTTTTAGAATTTTCTTTTAGTAAGTGAGGGGTCCCAAAGAATTAACCACAGGAGGAACGATAGAGTGAGAGGGACCCCACAGGAAAACTATGATCAGCGGCCAGTCAGTGGAGGAGGGTGATCGGCGGCGAGGATGGATGGATCAGAAAGAATGGTGGAGACGGGCCCACTTCCGAAGAAGTCGGAGAGTCGGACGCGCTTTTGTTGCGCTTGAAACCGTTGACCACATTTCGCGCGCGCGCGCCTATTTATCTCTGCTTGCGTTGCCAACATAAAAGGCCACGTCGGTCGTTGGGAACTAACCGTTGGTTTAATGTTAACGGATTTTTTTTTTTTTTTTGCGAATCTCAAATGGATTAATTTAAGTTAACCACGTCACTATTTTTTGATGTAAATTAAGTTAAAACACAAGGGTAAATATAAAGAGAATGAGTAGATAATCATAAAATCATCTTGATCTAAAAGGATTTGCTAAATTATCTTCCGAAATTTGAAATTAAAAAAATCTTAAAATAGTAATATTGAATTTCTATTGGTCGAGAATATTGAATTGAATTATATTATAAAGTTCATAACTTGTTAAAAACACGAGTCATAATTTCTGATAATGTTTAATTCTTCCTTGAAAATCGTGAAATGATTTATCCTAAAATTATATCCAATTAACAGCAATGCATGTTTAGATTGGTGTAATGTTCTAAACTATCTCCGAATTTCTCTAAAATTTTAGGGTATTTTAGGATGCAAAGAGAACTTGTGAGCTGCGCTGAAAGTTGGACTGTTGGAGGAGATGCCCTGGAAAAGTATTAATCCTTGTCATCATTATTTGTTGGGAAGTAGAATTCCATCCTCTCTTTATCTGCCAAACATACAAAGTAAAGAAAAAAGAAGAAGATGAAGAAGAACAATTAGATCTCAGAAAATTAAATTAATGGCAGTTATATTTTCAATAACTTTTTTAAAAAATAAGTTAAAAATATTAATTTATTTAATTGCATATTCAAGAATTTCAATTGCAAGTATATATTGATGCATTAAATATAACTCTTAAATTGTAACATGAATTTTTATTTATAACTATTTAATTTGACATTTATAATTTATTTTTTTAAAAATTTTGTCTTTCAAATAGTCACTAATTCAAACTTCTGGAACTTAAATGTTATTTTTCTCAAAATAAAAATCCATCACCCTGGGTTTAGGCGGTGAAAGCAAAATTTTCCGTCAAAAAAGAAAGTATTTTCTTTTATACAAATCCCTCCCCGTGGAAAATACTGTTCTATAATCGAATAATGAATCACGAACCCGAAATTTTAGCAAGAAACAGAAATTTTCTAGAACTAGAATGGAAGCTTGGTGCTGTGACAATTTTTTTGGTCAATCAAACCAAACATATTTAAATAAGTTGAATCGTTTGTTTGCTTGTTTATTCATTTTGGTAAAATAGCAAAAGCACAAGTTTTTTAGGTGCTGACAGTGAAAGTCAAACTGCAAGTTTTTTTTTTTTTTTCAATTGCTCATGAATATTTTAATCCTATTTAAGATGCAGTTCAATATAAAATATAAGCACATCTTTTAATAGTCATTTGAATGTTAACTCAATATGTTAGAAAAGATTAATCTCTTTTGTTAGACTTAAAGTCATGGTGAGTATAATTGCCAGTTGTTCAAACGCCAGACCAGTGTTTGCAAAATGGGCCAGATTGGCCCATGACTCTCGAGTGATCACAGGTACGAATGTGTAAGGTTGAACTTGAAGCCCACTCAGTAAGTCAGTCCACGGGCTAAACATGTTATCCAATGCGAAAATAAAATAAAATTGTCACATAAATAATTATTTAAAATAACTACCCATTAAACTAAAAAATTATTCATCGCACAACAAGAAGCAGAGAGAGAACATAAAAACTTCGGAAAATATCAAAGACTGAGCATATTTAATATTAAATAAATATATTTTAAAATATTATTATAAGATTGAAAAACTGATTTGGAAATAATTTTAAATAAAAAAAACTAGAATATCCCTACTTAGTTAATTAATCATTCTGATTTAATAAAAAATCATTCATCTATTGTCAAGTTCAAAACTTAAAAGAATTTGACCGTAAAAAAAGACAAGTATAAATTATGTTTTGAAGAGTAGTTACTCAACAATTAACAAATACTCGTTCACGTTTAACATGAAGCCATTCACTACTCGACAAGTTTAAGAATTTAAAAAAATTTAGTTGTGAGAAGGGATAAATATATATCATGTTTTAACAAGTAGATATTCGTTAATTAATAAGCATTTATTCACATACAACAAGAAGCCATTTAGCTAGTTGATAAGTTTAAAAAGAAAAAATAGGGATATTATAATTTTTTTTATCTAAAATTATTTTCAAATCAATTATTCAACCATACAGTGATATTTCGGAATTTTTATGATAAATGGTACCTGAATGATATTTTTCCCAAAAAAACTTTCCAAATCTCATTGTTAGGGACAGGGATACAGTGTATCATTAGTCCGAAATTTACGTCAAATTGATCGCCATCATTATTTACACTCAGCCTCTTTCTGTTTAAGAATAACATTAAAATCTCAAAATGATAAATTTATTTATTATTTGAGGCAATATATTATTAGTGTTATTTCTAGATATTTATGATCTTTTTAAGATAATATATTTTAGGCAATTTTATTTGAATAAGGATATCTTGAATATTTTTAGATTAACTAGGATTAGGATTCAATTATTCTTTTTATTATTATCTTTTGATTATCATTTTTATTTATGCTAAAATGCATAAAATCTCCATAAACTTTAAGATAGTTGTATACAACCCCATCACTTTTAAAAGTTTAAAATTAACTCCTCTAATTTTTAATTTTGTTTTTCAAAATCTCCTATTGTTAATCATGTTATTTTTTTCATGAGGAATAAAATGTCATTCAACTAAAAATTATTATTAAACAAAAATATTATATTGTGTAACTATTAATAATAAATTTTTTATATTTTTTAGATAGTTAAGGCATCGATTTAAAAAAAAAGTTATTATCATTATATAAAATTTTAAATATTTATATTTATATTAGTTTTATCCATATTTTTTTATTATCAATGTTGCATGATTTTATTATTTTAAAAGATAAATTTTTATTTGATTTTTTTTGTTAGATCAATGTATTATACATGACTAAAATATTTAAAATTTAAATATTACCATGTTAGATTAATTTATTTTTTAATATTAGAAAACTATATAACATTGACAACAAAAAAAATATAAAAATTAATACAAAAATAAATATTTAAAATTTTATATGATGATAATAATATTTATTTTGGCTATTATCAATGCCTTAGCTGTACAAAAAATATAAAAAATTTATTATAAATACTTGTACAATATAATATTTTTGTTTAATACTATTTTTTGGTTGAATGATATTTTAACTCTCATAAAAAATAACATAATTAATAATAGGGGCTTTTGCGAAACAAAATTAAAAATTAGGGTGGTTAATTTTAAACTTTTAAAGATGAAGAGAGTTATATACACCTGTCTCAAAGTTTATAGAGGTTTTATACATTTTAACCTTTTATTTATTTGCAATGAAATAAAATATCTATATTTAGACTACATTTATTTTTTTTTGATATATTTTTTTTAAAGATTACCTTTATTCATATATTTATCTTTGTAATCTTTATTTGTCTTTTGACACTGGGGTTAGAATTTAATTTATTTTTTTAATATTTTCAGGAATTTATAAATAATTTTAAGTTTCTCATACAAGCAGACTTGATTGACTAAATAAAGTATCTTGAGTTTTTCTATATCCTTCCTTCTCCCTCTCCCTCTTTTGTTTTTGTTTTTATTTATACTACTAAAATTTGGGTGAGAGTTGAGTGCTGAGAGCTTTTTAGGATCAAAGCATGCCTTTTAAGTTAAAGAGCATTTTTGGTCAAAAAAAATTAAAGAATATTTATAGAAATATTTATATACTAGCAATCTACAAAATCTTTAAATTAACAAGAAGATTTAATTTTATAATCTTATGAATTATGGGCTAAATTTTTATCACTTAACTAATCTTTACTGGTTCCTTCTTTTATTTTTCTTTCTCTTTTTCTTCTTGTTTTTTTTTTTAATTTTTTGATAATACTCTCTCTTCTTGTTTCACAACAATATTAGTGGCTTTGACAATAGAACATTGGGCTACACCCAGGCCTAAGGCCATTAACTTTCACCGTAAGACGATCTGCTAGCCCCCCTTGGTCTGTCCATTTGGGATGCATGTAACTTGTGTTATACAGAAGGGTCATGAGAGGGAAAAAAGTGAATTTATAATATTTAAAATTTTTAAGCATAATTTTAAAAATTATAATATTCAATTAACATTTCTTTCATTATCAATATATTTAAGTATAATTTTGAATTAAAACTATATAATTGTGGCAATTATATAAAATGCACCTGCACGGGAGGGGGATGGGATCATTAAGAAGAAGGGCAAATTGGCAACAACATCCCCTTTTTATGAAAAACCAAAAAAAAAAAAAAAATTACGTTGTTTTGTCATCAGTTCATGTTCATTCAACAATTTCATCTCATATTGCCAAGTACCAGCTTCAATATACACTGAGTACATTCCGATGCCTACATCATATCTTACATGTGTATACATTGAAGTCAAAAGAGTAGAAAATAATCTGTTTGTGATGATAATCAACCCATGAGATCGCTGTCGTTGAACTAATTGTTAGTCAACATATATAGTTTTCCTTTGATTTTCTCAAAGCACGACGACATTTAACAGCAAGCACGAAATGGTAAAGGGGGGATGGATATATATTTATATAACCCTTGACACATTTTAAAACTGAATAGAATACATATTGATGATAATATCAGACTCATGGGTCAATGCAAAATAGTTAATCAACGTGTGTTATGCATTTTCAGATTTTCTATTTGTACGTAGATGGCTGAAGTATCGATATAGAATGGTAGGTTGGACGTCTTCATCGACGAATGAAATATGCTATACAAGATTAAGACGTCTAATTCTTTTAAAGATTCTTAATTAACTACACGGGCTTAATATAACTGAGAAATGTCAACTCTCTCCCACAGAAGGAGACAAAACCGACATTACATGTATATTCTGGAGCTATCCATCTGTAATTAATTTCTTAATCTCAATGACAGGCCCTATTATCTCCCTCTCTTACACGTAGTTTTCTCTCTCAGCTTCCAAACCCTTAACTTTGATATTCTTAGGATCGACAAATGTCACGCAAAATTATCAAATTCTTTGGAGTTTGGTGTGTTTTAGCCAAACCTAATTCGAGAACTGATTCCTTAATTCATGCTGTTCCCTGCAGATCAAATTCAGGATAATGAACTGAGGAGATAGGTTTTTCTTGTTTTGATTTTCCTGCTTTATTTTCTGGTACGGTTCATCCACCTTTCCCAACTCCCATCGGCAAACTTGTAACAATAATAAATTCTCCTTCAATTCCGGCTTTTTGAATTTATATATGTGTGTGTGTGTGTGTGTGTGTGTGTGTGTGTGTGTGTATGCAAAGTATAACAGATGGGGATCAACATATTCAACACAATGCACCGCCAAAAAGAGAACCTTTTTATTCAAACGCCAGTATGATCTGATAGATTACATTAATTGCATGTTACAGAATAGAACAAATCCAGCTGTATTTGTAACGGGAAATTAAGCTTGGGAAATATTATAATTTCTGTAACAAACTAATTAAGGTTGAATAGATATCACTCGTGTTAATAATACTATTTGAGAATTACGACAAAGACTTCGTTAAGCTGATTATAAACACCATGTATATATGGTGAGATATTCGAGAAAAGGTTCGGTACATCACAAGTCAACAAAGTTGATGAAAATTTCAACGCCTCCATGGATTCCCCCCGTCTCCTTTTAGCTATTACCTTTGCAGGGAAAGTTCAATTGTCAAACAAGTAGGTAAATATTATATAAGGTCTCTATATTCCAAAATTTCATTCTCTTAATAGCAAAAATATTTAACTTTGGAGACTTTCTGTGTTAAAAAGTGAAATGTTGCCTGCGGATAACTGGTTCTTATGCAAAGGGTCAGTAATATTCCTAGATTATGTTGACTGCACTATATGCATTGCTTCAAGTCCAACTTATTTTATCACATCAATTACACACATACATAAATCCATATATATGTATATATATATAATGACAGAAGCTGCTTTTTGAATGTGCCACAAAAGCTAAATTATTATGTCCTTTTTTATGCACATATATATTATTGATGATCCCACCAAGATTGACTATTCGGATGCAACACCCTCCCCCAGCTCCCCACAGACTACAATCAATCACTGATAAAAAGAGTCAGACGTCACGATTACACACAAACATAAGAGAGGCTACGAAATTAAAACACATAAAAAGAAGGAAAAAGAAAAGCTGCTGCGAAATTTCACGTGGGGACAAGAGAATAGTGGTTTTGAAATGGAAAGAAAGTCAGAGTTTAGGTGAGAAGAAATTGAAAGATTGATCAAGGGAATGGACCCTACAATACACAGACACATACTATGCGTTGAAATTAATTATAACTAGCTAATTTGGTGAAATTGACAATTGAAATATACATATACACCGCAATGACAAAGCGAGAAGTCTCTAGCCATAGCAGAGGGTCAAGAGAAATTAAAATAATCACGAGGAAGCAAGAGATTTTTACAACTGTCAATGAAGGGTATGGGAGTTGTCACATGATCTCCAACCGTACAATCCAGGGACCATTTTCATCTGTATGCCTCGTGTGATTTTATTTCTACTTATAGAGATGACAAGTAGCCTGTTCGAATAGTATTGTTGATTAATTCTCTAATATATAAAAAGTCTTTCTAATATCTTAAAACTTTGTGAGTACTCTAGTTTTTGTTTGAATCATTCAAGCCGCAAAACCAGGTATATATATTAGTTCCTCGCTCTGATTCCCTTTCTCCTCCGTTCCTTCCTTGTTTCGAAAGCTTGATTAGATACGTGCTGCATACGTTCAATAGGTTTGGAAGCGAAGAATGAAGAAGGAGCGAGCATCAACTCCTTGAGTGATTCAAAAGGCCATTCGATGCTTTTTGTTGTTTGATTTCTTTACTGTTTTGGGAGAAGCTGCTCATGCGATGATTAGATCATGTTCCTTCGTCTGTTTCTGGGTTTCTTCCTCATCTTCTTCTTCCTCGCCTCCCTTTTAGGTGTGTGTTTCTAACTAGGTTCGTGAAATTTCTTTATTCTCTCTTTCATGATCTTCAAGAACTTAACGGGAATACTGAAATTAATTAGCTAGCAGGCTACTTGATATATATATATATATATATTTTTTTTTTTTTCTTCAGACAACCTCCCACATATAATCTATCTTTCCTTACAAAGTAAACTCTTTTTCCTCCGATTTCTTTCTGGCCTGGATTATATTGCATTACTTACCCTAGTTGGTGGCGTATAATAGCTGATATATATATATATATATATATATCTTTTCCCTAGGCTAATTAATTTATGTACAGGCATGTATTAATTTGTCCACTGAAACAACGAATAAAATTGTTGACTCTTGATTCCTTAATTCTCTATCTGCTTGCCTTTTGTCTATGTAATTCACATTCCTTAACACACATCTTACAAATAATAGGTATAGCTCGTGCTTATTGTATATACAAGATCTTATATGTTGATGAATGACCATCTCTCTCCTGATGATTAATGATAGTCTTATCTTCGAATTATGAATCATTGTGCATATGGGTGAACAAACGATATATACATAAATGTACATGCCTCGCGCGTGTACGTGTAGAGAGAGAGAGATCTGAATCTGCCATATTATATTTCAGCCGATGCCAAATTTTAGCAAAAAAGCTTCCAACTAGGGTCGTTAGAGAAGTTGCGTTGCATTCTTTATACTAAAATTGTTATGAATCTTTCAACAACTCAACCACTGCTTGCGTGTGTGGTTAAATGATATAATTATACACGTATATGTAATAGGGATTCAATAAATGTCCCCCATCTCCTTGTAGCATTTCCCGTACAGGAATATTGAATGCACATAAAAGGTATTCAAGCTTACGATTGTCATGGGTACAATACTAATAATAAGTGCTTTATGCTAAACATAAAAACTACAGCCTGTGCGTGTCTACTTTGCAGTACAATTTGCCAACTTTTAACTGTACACATTTATATTATAAAAATGATCGATCTCCTGTGCATGCGTTTCAGTGAAATGCAAACTATAAGGAGGCTGGAGCCCTGAGGGTAATCTCTCGATCAGCATTATTATTGCAGAATACATGATGACAATGTCGTCATCAGAAGGATACCGGATCGAAGACAAGAAGAATGGCAGGTGTACTAAGGAACAGGTGGCCGAGGACGTGGCTTCATTGGGATCTTCGTCTCAGGCATGCTCATCCTTTGACTTGAATGAAGAAGCGAGCATAGAGGACAAGTACGATGAAACAGATCACTTTCATATCATGGCTGAGGAGCATGATGATGAGAAAGCAAAGGATGAAGAAGGTGCTTCATCTGATGATAGAAGCACGTCCAGGGAAGGGAATAATGAAAGAAGAAGTGTGAGACAATATGTAAGATCAAAGATGCCTCGCCTTCGATGGACTCCTGAACTACATCTCTCGTTTGTTCAAGCTGTTGAAAGGCTTGGTGGTCAAGAGAGTAAGTACGATATCCTTGATCGTCTTCAAACAAATCTGATATGATAGTTAAATATTTAAGTAAGGATTTTTAGATAAATATCGTCGCTATCTGTGTAGGTGAGAAAAAGAAGCCTTCACTGTAACAATAAAATTTTTTTTGCATAAATTTGTGCAGGAGCTACACCCAAGTTGGTGCTTCAGCTAATGAATGTGAGAGGGCTTAGCATTGCTCATGTCAAGAGTCACCTGCAGGTAAAACATAAAGTAAATTGCTGAGATAGTTTCGACCGAAAAATCTTTATAATTTGAATTTGTTTTGATTTGAAAAGCAAGCGTTTTAATTCTTTTCCACGAGTGATTCGATGTTTATGAAATTTTGCTTCAGATGTACCGAAGCAAGAAACTTGACGAGGCCGGGCAAGGTGAGATCGTTGTAGATCCTTTTCCTTTTTGGGCCAAGCAAATCATTTTCCTTCTATTGCCGCTTTTGTTTTGTGTACATTTTAACCTAAAATCCCATGCAAGGTTCCCTGCTCACTAATTACTTCCAAATTACCAGTCCACTCCCTACAGTTCAAAATTTAATAGTTTTTAGAAAAATCCGCGTACTATAAAATCCGAATTTTCATAAAATATATATATATACATACATATATATCCTTTTTTTTAATCTTTAGTCTCAATAATTATCAATACACTTCATAATTTGTAGAGATAAATTTACACAAAAATTTATGTTAATAGATATAAGGGGTACAATATTAAGCATGTTGATCATCAGCTATATATTCAACAATAATTAATATAGCTAGATTTATGACACATAGACACGAAATTATAACGTCCATATTAGTAGAAACCTTGATTTCCTTGCTCATCCCAAAGATGAGTGGAGGCTGCCATAATATGAAATTTGAAACATTCAAATTGGATTGTTCAATTTCAATTTAATATTTTAAGAAATATTTTTTTTATTTCAATAGAGAATATATAAAAATAATTTTTTAACGGTTACATTTTTATATAGTAATGTTTTGATAAAAAAAATTAAAATTTGAAATTGGTTAAAATTAAATTTAGTTTATATAAATAAAATTAGCCTCTTTTAATAGTAATCTCTGGAACGAGTAGATATGATCTAAATTTACAATTAACGTATATACGAGATTGGATCTTCCTATTTTAGGGTCTTATGGTAGGAGAGGATAAAATATAGGGTTTTGGTGCCTTCTTAAATGAGGTTAGATTACAAATAAGTATCACGAAATTAAATTCAAAAATTACAATCAAGTTTTTTGAAACCTAATTGTAATTTAAGGTTGGAGTACAAATATAATACTATCTATGTTAATTTGGCTTTCCATTGTATTACTGCAACTTCATAATATACAAGTAAAAATCTATAATTTACAATTCAAAGTTCTTGTTTAATATTTGATATAACACTTACAGTGGCATATTAACTCTTTAGAAACTCTAATGGTATATCAAGTATTAAACAAGAAATTTGACTTGTAAATTATGAATTTTTATTTGCAAATTACAAAACTGTAGTTACAATTGAAAGCCAAATTAATAAGGTCAATAATAAATTATGCTCAAGTTTTGAGAAACTTAACTATAATTTTTAAATTTAGTATAACTTATTTGTAAATAAATCTGTTGTACATGAGATCTATTCATAATTTTTTTCTCGATTTAATTAAGACCATGTGTTAACAATCTTGAAACAAGCAGTTAATTACATATGTGCTTGGGAACCTCCATTAAAGAATGTAGCAGGGAAATAATTAGAATGGCATGGGATTAGGGTTATCAATAGATATTCAGATGCCACAGTTGTGATAAATTTATGTTGTATGTTGCATCACAGTTGTAGGTCGAACGCACAGATGGAGCCAAACGGAAGGTGATCTCATTTCTCAGATATGGCATTATCAGTCTGCGAGCCCTCACCAGTATAATTTCAAGATGGGAAACGGAGGAATCATCCTCGCAAGTAATTGCAATCACGACCACCAGACTAGTCTCTTTCCTCCCTCCTTTGCCCTATCACGTCCACACACAAAGCCTGCAACTGATTCTTGGTACGTAACATAAACTGCGTATATATATTCAGGGGTACACGCTTGTTGTTGTCTTGATGCAAATAGGTAGAGTTCAAAGCAAATTAAACCCTTATATGATCTTGGGTGTGACAGGCAGCAACAGTGGAACTTGAATCATCAACCTGCAGGAAGACTAATAGTCAACCAAGAAGTGATGGACCCATTAATGAACAGCAAGATAACGCCCCTGAGACGCAGACAATTTCCGGAAGAAAAAAGGTGGCCTCCACTGGAGATGATGAAGGCTCATCAAAGGAAGTTAAAAGGGTCGCCTACCAATTACACTAATGCGAGCTCAACACCAGATAGTGACAGTCTCAAGCTAGATTATGAACCCCCGTTTCGGATCGAGGTAATTAATTAACAATACATTGGTCTTGGTCTGCTTGTTTGTGAACAAATGGAGGGTTACTGATTTTATGAGGTGTGAACATAATGCAGCTGAATGGAGCGATGGTGCGGGAAGAAAAGCAATGGCTACCTGATTTGCAATTGGGGCTGAGTCTGGGAAGTGGCAGAGACACCCAAGCCCAAGAAATTAGCACTGAGCTTTCGCTTTCTTAGAACTTCTATCCATAGTCTTTTAATTCTTGCAAAGATACACCACAACATTCAAATCACGAACTCGGGCCAGACTTTGACGAAAAAGACCAGAGTATATATATGAGCTTGGTAGATTATAGGACTCCCCCCCCCCCCCAATTGTTGTCAAGTATAGTAGGATTTTCTTTTTGTTTTTGGGGTAAGCTGTGAAGTAGGATTTTTGACTGTAAATGAAGCGGCACCAAGCTGCAGAACCATGAATGAGGACGGGGCGGGCCACCGGTTTAAATTCATTTAAAAAAAATTACCTTTTTTCAAAAAACTGATCCCAAGTTCGAGTGACTCGTTTAGACTCATTTTTATTTTATCTGTAAAAAATAAAATATTTTTAATTTTCAGAATAAATTTAAATTTTAGAATATATATTTATAATTTAAAATTAAAATTTTTATTATTTATTTTAAATTTTTGAACATTATAATTTATAATTTTTAAAAATATAAAATATTATAATTAAAATTTTTAATTTTTAAAAATATCAAGAAAAATAAAAAATAATAAAAAGGGCTTAAGGGCTAGGCCTTAAACCTTTTTAATAAGAATTGAATTTAAAAAAAATTATTGATTTTGGGATAACCAAGCTTATGAATTTGAATCCATATAGGCCCTGCTCGCCCATTTCTTGGCTCTACCTAGCTATTTAATAGGGTTTTTTATGAGATGAAATAACATCGAGATGCCCCTATTCGATGCCCCATCTTGAAAAATGATCACGACTTAATTTTTGTCCCATGTTCATTCTTGTATCGAAAGTCATTCTATCCCCATTGAGAATTAGGATGAGACCAGGATAAGATTGGGATGTCCTGCCATCCTATTAGAGCAGACAATGTAGAAGAAAGGCTTGGATAATAAGATTTATTAAAATTTTAAATAACACAACTTATTAAGTTTAAAGCCAAAATGACACAAGTATAAAAATCACAACAATTTAATGTAATTATTGAATTATATCAATCACAACTACAAATATACAACTTAAAGTCAGGTATACTGAGACATATAAGAGCAACAACAACAGATAAGCTAGACATAATATCAAGTCATTGTTCTTTTTTTTTAGTTGAAATATGTTAAGCTAGTGACTCTTCCAAAAATAAGGTAAAAAATACGATATAAACAAAAGTTATTAAATAGATAAATATAAAAATAAATTTTATTAATATAATTAATATATTGTAAGGAAGTATATTACTCTGTGTCATTAAAATTATCAATAAAAAAACTTCTATTTTTAAATAAGAATTGCGCGTATTAAAATTATAATTAATATAAACATAAATTATATTAATATATTTAATGCATATTTTTAAAATAAATATATATAATATTTAGGATTGGGTTGAGTGTTTTGAGAGCAATCATGTGTCTCATCTCATCTCATCTTGCAACGTCCCGTCTTGATTGTTTTCAAGCTAGGACGGGACCCGCCATGATATAATCAAGGCAAAACTAAATCAGTCAGAATGAGTACAAGTTGAACACCCTTATTAGCTAGTACTAATTTTTTCAAAGATAATTTATAGATATAATAGCCCAAAAATCCCTAACCACAAATTTAATTGTGAAGCAGTACCTAAGACTTGTTTAAAAAAGAGGTCATTTGCTATCAATAATCACTGAAGGCTAAATGACATAAATGCGCTTCCTAATAGAAAAACAAAAATTGGAAAAATCCTTCGCTGTCAATGTTTCACATAAGGTTTTTCATTATTAATATAATGTAGCTGAATGGAGTGATAATGGTGCAGGAAGAAAAGCAATAGCTGTCTAATTTGCAATTGGGGCTAAGTCTAGGAGGTGGCAGAGATGAGGTCGGCTTGTCTCTACTTACTTCCCTCTTCATTTTGTAAAAATGCAGCATTTAACTTTGGAAAAAAAAATCTAGGCCATTTGCCTTTTCAGTTTTCTAAATGAAACTCAGCCATCAATTGCAACTTCATTTCAGGTTGTATGTTTTTTCAAAGCTTCATCAAACAAGAACAAGAGACTAAAACTAAATAATTTCACAACATTGTGTACATGGAAGATTGCTTTTCACATTGTCTTGATTGTTCTATTATTTCTTCTTCTCTTTTATATGGCCTGTCCTTTCTACTGGAAAATCTCTGCCACCATACACAATAACCTGCAAAATGAACAAATTGTTCAAGAGGGTATTTTTGTCTTCTTTCTTAATACCTTCTATATGTGTTCCATTTCATGATTTTTGAAATAATTTTATATGCTTGTCTCGGTCCTGGTCTTTCTGACATCATTATGGAAGCTTAGAGATCAATTGGTTGGTATCGTAACGAGTTTGACTCGAATTATGCAAACACCTGAAAGCTGCTTCTAGATCAAGTTTATTGAAGTTGTTGGCTGATAAGAGTTTTTAAAGGTTGAAAACAAAATTGAAATAGAAAAAGGGTTTTGTGTTTTTCAAGATTTTGTGATCTAGTTTGTTTATTTTATTAATGATAATTGAGATAGTGGTAATTATTATAAAAGTATATGAATGTAGAATGATAGATTTGAGGACACTGTGAGAAAATAAAATATTAATGTTTACTTCATTGTTGATAATTGAATAAAAGCTATTAGGTCTGAGATTTGTGCGGTGAAATAAATTAGGTGACTTCTTCTAACTTGTACCCCTTTAATTCTTTCTTTATTTTGAAGTTTTGATACAGTAAGTTGTCAACAAAAACATATATTAAAACAATAAGCTAATCCTTGTGTCATATATTCCTCATCCTTCTTTGAGAGTAACATATTCAATTCTAAGCCCTTTAAGAGTGGTTTAGATAGAGGTTATGGGTTTACGACTCATACAATACATGTAGTTGGAAAGTATTGGTGTTAAAAAAAATTATTGCCTTGCAAATATCATTTAAACCACCCATGCCTTAGTGGATTCTCTCTCTTTTATATTTATTTATTTGGCCAGCATTTTATATTTATTCAACCTCCTTAATTTAGGTAAGTTAGGATTTATTTTTCCTTTTTCTGGGTTGATCTGGTACCTTCTCTACATCAGGCTTATATTCTACTTCATGGTAAGCTATGTTATGTGCAACTGTAAACACTTGGTGCAAGTGTCTGGATTGTGTTTTATGTTAACTTCCTTACTCTTCTTCCTTCTCTCTGCCATCCCCCCATACTTTTGCTGAACAGGTGTCTCAAATTGTTTTGCATCCTTAAATTAAACATTTAGCCCCTTAGTATGTTAATATTTTACAAGTAGAACTTGAACAATTATCATTTAACTGGCTTGGCTTCACCATGATTGTAACCTCTTTTCAATCTTCCCCCTGTTGTTGTGTTCTTCCTCTTTATAGGACATAGCTTCTCACCTTATCATCTTCCATACATACATTGTCATACTTGTTAATTAATTGATCATAGAATCATTTCATATCCTTAAAAACGCAACCATTATAGGTTGGATTATTAATTATTACAAGTTTTCCCATACTTCAAAATGAGTAGTTTGGACGGGAATAGGCTTAACAATCTGATAGTTATTATATGCATGTTAAGTAAGGACTATATGAATGGTATAATATCAATTGTTGCTTGTTGTGAAAGCTTACCACTTTGAAAATGTACAAGAGGCATTTCTAATTCATTCATTTAGTATCTATAAATGCACATGAAATACTATTTGTGAAATTATAAATAGAAGGAAAAAAACTATGAAAGTGATGTCTTTAGTGCATGCACGTCAAATTATAGAGCAAAGGCGTTCAATTTCAACAAGATGTTTTTACCATGTTGAATGTTATAGGAGATAATTTGAACCATTAAATTGTTTAGTATTGCATTATAGTTGTGAACTTTACAAATTTGTCAACCTCTCATCTATGGTGGTTGTAGAGGAAAAAAACAAATTCCCATTTGTTTGACTTGATATGAGAGTTAGCTTCTTTTTTGAAAACCTTCTTCTGATGTATTTGTTAGGTTTGAACTTATACAGCCTTTACTCATTAACACAAATGTAGACTATTTAGGATTTCATATATGCACATTTGCATTAACACATTTTGATGGATAATGAGAGTAACTTTACACTGTGGATATTATAATTGCAGGGCAAAAAGAGAGTAGCAATTGAAAACAACTAATGAGTTATGAAATCATCTACAAAATCATCCTAAAAGCTACCATTACTAAAAGGAGAGCAGCTTAAGAATAGTAAATGCTATACAATCATCTCAAGAGCTACCATGACCAAAAAGAGAGTAGCTCAAGTATAATAAATGCTACATAATCACCCTAAGAGCTATCATGCTTAAAAAAGAAAAGCCCAAGTATCCTAAGCAAAAGCTGTGACAAAAGGAGTTGAAATGAAGTAGTTAGAATGAGAAGAGTTGGATGACTTCATTTAGCATGATCTATATATGTGAACTTGTATTTGTATCTCAACAGTATAAATTAATATTGTATTGTATTGTAAAGTGTAAAAAGTTATATTGATTTCAATCAAAGTGACTCAATTTGTCTTGAAACTTGATTATTTACCATTTTTAAATGCTTAGCTAAACTGAAGTGCTTCAAGTGATGTCATATCACAATCAAATGGTGCTTATATTCAGGAAAAGAGACAAAATGACTTGATATGCATGTTACATATTAATAAAATAGTTGGAATATATGATTACTATCAATTAATTAGTAAAAGTCATTTGACTTTTTTCAGGTGTATCTAACAACATATGATCATGTTGTACTTGAGCTGATGAGGTATCTTCTTCAAGTGTATCTAACATCATTGGATCATGCTATTCTTGACCAAGCTATAGTTGTAAAAGAAATAATGACTACTTATCAAGCATCTTAGGACAAAAAAACAAAGAAAGAAACAAAGAAATTGATAAAAAGCATACATTTGAATCTTTTTTAGAGGCAATAACTAATGATGAAAATTTCTTAGAAGCTTATAAAGATTGTTCTTTTTAAATCCAATTGCTTTACCATCACTACCATTACCTTTATCAACATAATTACTTTTATGATTCCCTTTACTATCCCCATCACCATCATTATCTTTTTGCTTTGTGTGAAGCTCATCCACTCTCTTAGTAAGTTCCAATATGCCTTCATAAACAAGAGAGAATGCCTCAAGACTTTTTGATGAATCACTGGCTAACTAACAACCATAGGGCACAATTGCCTATATCATCTTGACCTTTCTAGTTTGGGATCAACTTCAATTTGTTTTCCTTCAAATCATACACTACACCACTTCGTGCTTCTCTTGTCCATCTCTTTGTTATATATA